TCACAACAGCACATAGTCCCATATGATTGCTATAAAGAGTAAATGAGTTAAGAACTATGTCATGAGGAACATAGCTTGACATATAATAAATGCTCAATAAATGTTATATTGTTATTATGAAAATTATCAGAATGGCTGCAGGGGTTCAATAATAATACAAATAAACAGTGCTACTGGATTTCACAAGATGGGAAAATGACCCTCACTTGGGGGGAATTCATCAAGCACTTCACTAAGCTGCCCTTCAGGACAAGGCTAGCTCATACAGTGTCTCTGTGTGAATGAGAATGCAGCCTGCAGGTGCACATGAACAAGTAAGTAGCCTGGATTTCTGTCATCACTCAACCCCTTCAAGAAGCACCCTTATGCAGGATACAACCAGGACAGCCTTATATGGGAGCCTGGAAGACAGGACACATAAAGCTGAAAAAAGCTGAAGAGAACACTCCAATAGAAATGTAGAAAAAAGGCTGCAAACTATCACGGGCAAACACAAAGGCAAGTAACCCATATTGGTTGAATACAGTGAGCATTTAGAAGACCTGAAGATAAACCCAGAAAGGTAGGTGGAAGCCAGATCACAGAGGACCTTAAATACCATCAAGGCATTCAGCAGTAAGTCTGAACATGTAATATAATTCCGACAATGCTTTAGGAAGAGTAATCTGACATTATGTACTGAACAGATTTGAGCATGTGCAGGGAAGAGGTCACTGAAGTGGTCTGTCAATCTGTGAGTTCCTCAGAGGCAGGGGTCATATGTCTCATTCATTCCTGTATCCTCTAACTAAGTGGTAGGGATGGAGTAGGCACCCAACAACTACTTGAAATATAAATAAATAAATGAGCCAAAAAGACATCATGAACCTTAATCAGAGTGGCAACAATGGAAATAGAAAGATACATATTGGAAAAATAGTTCAGAAACAGAAACAAGAACATTTGCTGGCTGATGAAATGGGGCAAGGACAGGGCAGAATCAATAAAGACTGTAAAACTGATAAATGTTACATGCACTGCATTACAGGTTTCTGTGAGAATCAAATATAATTATGTTCATGAAAATGCTTCATGAAAAAAAAGTCTGCTTTTCTCTGGAATAAAAGCTAGTATATCTAGGACAGATATATTACTATATTTGACCTTGAATATATCTCATTATTTTAAGACATTTATTATTCTTCTGTCTACACTAGATTATAAAATCTTTAAGAGTACATAATTTGTGTACTGTTATAAAGCACAATAAAATCTCAAGTATTACTTTAACTAACATTTTCCCACTCACAGAAGAAAATATTATTGAACCTAGTTCAGCTATACATCAAAATACACACAAATGCAGACACACAGAGATATATACACATTTATGTACACATATACACATTTTTCTTTATATTCCCAGGATGTCTGACAATTAATGTTACACATGCTCAATAAAAGCCAGTTGAACTGAAATGAACTAACTTAGGAACCTCAGAGAGCTTATTACTGGTGACCTTTATGTTTCCCTCTCACAGTCTATGCTCTTATCATCATCTACTAAATGCATACTGTAGAAGAAGGAGACCCATGGTAAGGGCAGTTAGGGAGATAGAAAAAGAAAAATCAAGAAATATGATTATAAATATACATGATAATGGTGTGCCAGTAATTTTTAACAGCTGGCCCAGATGGGTTGGGGAGTCTGCTTTTCAGTATTTGCCAATTTCTATGGTTTCTATAGGCCATTCCCACTCTGGTCTATTTCAAGCTAACAACATGATATCAACTGGTTTGCAAAATCCATGAAAATTTAACAATCAGCTCACATAAAACAAGCATAAGCCAGCTCCAACACCACCACTGGATGCAATTTTTAGATGCATGACATACATAAGAATAAATTCTGCTCGGCAATACTATTTTCTATGTACCCAAAGGAAAGTACAAAAGGCAAGGAAAAGGTAGGGAAAATCCATACCCTACTCCTATAAGGCCTTTGCCTCAATCTACAAAGCAGTCTTCTTCTGAACTGGGCATATGATCCAGCCCAGAAATTCCTTTTTCCTAGTCCCATGACATAGAAATTTTTCTGATCATTCGGCCCTATTAGTAAAAATGTTTAAGCATGTATGTTCAAGATATGTTAATATATTTATTTATAAATTATACTAGAACTACTATATTAATATAGTATAAATTATAAAGCATACATAAAAGATAAAAATTAATACAAATAGAAAAGAAATATTTTCCTCCCACATCCCAATGAACTATTTTACATCACCCCCACCCCACCCTTGGTTTTACACAATCCAGTTTAGGGATTAGCAAGGCCAACATTAAAAGTAAAATAAATAACTTCCTGCACGTGTTTCCCCTAGACCTACAACCCATCTTATTAGGTCTTCCCACTCCATACTAAAGAAGGGTAAGCACCAACCCATGGAAAAGATAGGAGAAATGAGTTAACAAGATCTTGAGCAAAGTTGGACTAAGGACAATACAGCTCCATGGAATTAAGACTCCATGACAATAAATCATTAGAGAGGCTACAAAGACACCATCCTAACTGGAGTTTTTAACCCCATAAAGCAACATATCCTAGTACCATATCCCAGTAAATGTCCTTGGACCTAAGCCATCTGTATCAGTTCAGGCAAATAGAAGGGCTGAGAGGAAACTAGAGTTTCCCCCAAACCAAGCATGTCCCCTAGACAAGTATATTAATAAAATCTTAAATTGGGAAATAGAGAGCACAAGATTATGCCAGACACACATAAATCATATAGAACAGCCCTTCTTTTCTATTGCAGATAGTCTGCTGGCAGATCACAGTTTAAGCCAAATATGTTAATCCCTAATCAAAAGCACTATTAATCAAACATGCAAGCTATATAAAATTCATCTTAAGTTTATATAAATTAATCAAAGATAACAAGATAGTAGTTAATCATAAAGTACTATATTATGTCAGGTTATCTTTGAGTTAGTTATCAACATGTGCTATTCAAATTACCTTGATTTCTTCTTAATTTCTACACTAACTTTGCTACAAAATATAGAAAAATAAAAGACAAAAAATGCCTTCCTCAGGATCACAGAATACTGAAGACCTTACTAAGGAAGATTTTATAAGCATATTTAAAAACACCTAAGGATACTAAATGCTTTCTGAAGACATTGCCCAAGGAAAGTCTTACTGCTTTTCCTTTCTTGTTGCCAATTTCTTATAAAGCATTAAAGATGGGGCTGCCCTTATCCCTCCCTGAAAGAAGAAAAAAAAACAAAAAAGAGGAAAAAAAAATTCTGAGCTACCATCTCATGAAGACTAGCAGCATTTAACATGAAGGAATCAACCCTTTTTAACTATTCTCTTCATCCTTTGATTCTTTATTACACAGTTGCTTCAGTCTTAAGGCTCAAAGCTTTGACTGAAATAACCAAAATAAAGATCCCCACAAATCAATCTACCTTCTCACCCACTGAATTTTCCCTGTTTTCTTCTTTCTCTAAAGAAAATGGGGTCCCTTCCCCAGGGTAACTAAGTATCCTAATAAAAATTATTTTTTTAATGTATTACTATCTCTTACTTCAATAAGGTTGCCTAAACATACATTTTCCCTTTTCTCTTCAAATGCCCATTGAAACGAGAGAAAAAAATAGTTTACAACTAAATAAAAAACATAAACATGTTAGAAAACAAAAAAGGATGCCATTTGCAAATTAGAGTTTTAAAAAACTCTAGATCCATGCTTCTCAAACTTTAGCATGCACCAAAATCACGTAGAGGGCTGGTTAAAACACAGATTGCAGGATTCCACCCTCAGGGTTCCTGATTCAGTAGGTGTGGGGTGGGGTGCAAGATTTTGCATGTCTAACAAGTTTCCAGGTGATGCTGACTCTACAGGTCTGAGGACCATATCATGAGATCCACCATGCTCAGTAAATAAAGATTATTAAAAGTAACATTTTTAATTAATTCTAATTAGCATTCTCAGAGATACTCAAACAAATGATACACCATTTTTGTAAGTGGGAAGGGACTGCAATTGGAAAATAAAAAATAGTTCTGGAAAATTGGAAAAAATATAATTTCTGAATTTTAAAAAAATCAAAAGGACTAAATAACAACTAAAACCTAATGTAGCAGTCTAGAAAATAGTCTAAGATACCTTCTAAAACCCAGAACAAAAGACAAAGTTAATGGAGAATATAGAAGAAAAATTAACTAGCATAAAAGGTCAATATCTGTGTAGGTTTCTGAAACAAGAAACCTCAAAACACCTCAAAACTCCTCAAAAACACCTCAAAAAAGTAACAAATGAAGAAATGTTCCCTAAGCTGAAGAAGACTAAAGTCTTGATGTTATTTCGCCAATTTCCAAGCATGTAAAAAAAATGTAAAGCCAAAAACCAGATGCATCTTTGTAACATTTCTAAACTTAAAAAATACAAAGAAAATTCTAAAAGCTTTGAAGGGAAAATATATGGTATTACAAAGCAATATAAATCAGACTGGCATCAGACATCTCATTAGAATGCTAGAAAAATAATGGAATTTTGTTTTCAAGGTTCAGAGAGGAAATTACTTTAAACCTGAAATTCTACATCTAGTCAAACAATCAAATATGAAAGCAAAATAAAGACATTTTTGAAAATTCAAGAATTAAGAAAATCGATTTCCTGTCTATATTTGTGTCCTACTTCTATGGTAAGAAATTATCACAGACCTCCAAAATAGGTATCAATGAGCTAATATTAGGGTGCTGACATGCCTTTTCTAGCTTCCAGAGACTGCCTAAATTCTGTGGCCAGTGGTTCCCCTTCATTTTCATTAGTACTAGTAAATGTAACCAGTACTTCTAGCAGATTTTTGAGTTCCTTGAAAACACACAAATGTCTAGAGCTACACTATATAGCTTCTGACAAAGTAAATGAAAAATATCAATATGCTTTTTATCATTGTCTTAAAAAAACCATTTTAATAAATTAGTATTTCTATTAATATACACCTACCGAATCATTTGCTGCTAGTGCAAGTGCAAGGTTCACTGTAAGAAACAAAAAGTAATTAAATTTAGTTCCTTCCACTAAAATTCATTTTGCCTTTTAATATTTTTTAATGTAATAACCAAAACACACAGATTTTTAATATATCTCCCTTACTGGTAAGAAACAAGGGCATGGAGAGAATTCAGGAAGTGAAAAAGACAAAAAAGAAATTAATAAAAGAAATTAAAAGAAATTAATGTAAGTATTAGATGCTTATTAACATTTCAAATAATCCATTTGTATCTGTTACAATTTTGTTTAAATAATTAATTTAGTTTTTTTAAAATGGTATACATGGTTTAATTATTTTCAAAATAGGAAGGGACATTTACTGAAGCACCTACTATGTGACCCTCTTCATTTTCTCATGTATTTACTTGTTTATATGCTGCCACATTCCATGGCAATAGGTAATATTTTAACCAAAACCAATAAACAATCAGTTTTAAAAAAGTGCTAGCGTACAAACCCATCAAATTATATTGTTCAAATCATGGCTATCAACATGAAAATAACTTCCATCTTTAACCAGCCCAAGTAATCACAGAGCATGCAAAAAGATTCACACTACTGAAAACAGGTAAATGTACTCTGAATTTTCAAAAAAAAAAAAAAGAGAGAGAGAGGTGGATTCTAGAACAAAAGACTAAGCTTCTAAATTTTAAAAGCAAAGTAATCAAAAGGGATAAGGGAGGGAATAATAGGGGGAAAGGGTGAAGGGTTTATAGGGACAATTATAAAGGACATATGGACAACAAGGCAGTGGGAATGGGGGAGGGAGGTGGGAGGGCTGGGGTGGTGGGGAGTGGTAGGGGGAAAAGGCAGAAAACTGTACTTGAGTGACAATTAAATAAAATAAGTAATAAATAAATAAATAAATGCAGTAAGTTCAACCTAAAAAAAATAAAAACAAAATATCAAATAGATGCATTGTAGGCCCTTCAGAAAGGAAAAGTGTGTAAGATATAGCATGAACTCATTAAGAACATTCACTAACTAATCATTTTAATGATAATATATTTTCAATTAAATAGTAAATTAAAGGCCTATCATCACTATAACATTTGGTAAATCTTAATTTCTTCAAACATCTGAAAAACTCTTCCATAATTACCTTCAGGTCAAAATGGGAAAAACCTGAGACAGTAACACTATATAGTTGGATTGGTTGCTAGCTGTACACCATAAAACCGCCAGACCAAGGAATTACTCAAGACGGCTGTAAGTCAAGATCCAAGACTCTAGTGACAATCACAGAACTCTACCTGGCCCTTCTTATTTCAAAATGTCATTGATTTCAATGAAAATAAAGAATTTTAAGAGATATATATATATATATACCTTAAAATTCTTTATATATTCTTTATATGGGGTGCATATATATATATGCACCCCAACTTTAGGTTAATAATCTGAAAAAAAATCAAAATTTAATCTTGTCCATATAGAACCAAGCTAAAATTAACAAAACGAAATATAGTAAGGTAATCATTTTTTTAAAAAATCAACTGCAAAAATGATAGGCTGGATAAGATCTGAATTAGCAGCCATTCTTATTGAAGTGACTGAAAATTAAATGTAGCCAATAAGACCTGAGAATTTTATGACTCCAAATTAATAATACTCTATTGAGTAGGATTGGGAAAAGGGAAGTTACCCTTTTAAATTATTATACTGAAATAAATTTTTTTTACAAATAAAAGGTTTCTTTTGAAAAATTCATCTTGGATGGTAACTCTTCTATTTCTGATTTTACTCTTTTATTTAAAAGCAGCATTTCAGTCACAGTGTAATCTGTTATCAATTAAAAGGAGCCACCACAAAAGAAAATTCTCTGCTGTAATATATCAATATAAAAGATATAAAATTAGATGACAAATAATTACATTAAATCTTTTCAGGCATTTTCAAATATTAGATCTATATTACTTTATAAATGCTTAAAGTTATATTATGGTTAAATTTAAAAGGTCACAATGTAAACAATCTCATTGCAACTACATGTACAACTATATGTACATGGAAAAAGACTGTAAAAGAGCATAAAAGAATAAAAATAAGTATTAAAGTCACTAGGTATTTTAAAAATAGTAATAACAGTAATCAAATACTGAGTACATACTGCATGGGGTCACTGAGCTAAGTTTAGTTTAATTTACATAACTATCCTGTGAAAAAGGCTATCACCATAGTCATCTTACAGTTAAGTAAACTTAAGTTCTGATGGGCAACCTGACCATCTTTTCCTCAGTGAAGGAGTGAAAGAACTGGCTATGTACCTAGTTTTGTATAAGTCCAAACTCTAAGCTCCTAATTGCTACCAGCTTCTGATACCAAGTCACCAGCTATTAGGAACTCCACAAATACTAAGATTTTAAAAAATAAATCTATAATTTTCATACTGTTCACTCACCAGTTGGCATGTTCCTAATCAACATCAGAATTAATATGCTATAATACCTGCTGTAGTAGACTTTCCAACTCCACCCTTTCCAGAAGCCACAACTATAACTTGTTTAACACCTTCAATAGGTTTCTGCTTTGGAAGTCCTCGGGACATAATTTCTGTTCTTCTTTGTTTTAGGGTCTCATTCTCAGCGCCAGATAACTTTAAAGAAAAAGTTTTAAAATAAGCCATCTCCATTATCATGCTGTAAAGTAAAAGCAATTCGAGTTTGTGATTAAGAGAGCTTTCATTTCCAGTTCAATTCTGTTTAGGCCTTTAGTGGTATTCACCTACTACTATTGATTATAATCGTAGAAACACGTTGTTTAAGCTGAAATTTATGTCAAGACACCCTAACGTCAAAAATAGAAACTAACACCTTTTTACGGAGTTAAATCCCCCACGTGTTCTTCTCTTAAGCTATTTTTTCTAAAAAAGCCAACATTAAGAAAGCCATGTGCAAGTCATACATCCCTGTTCTAAACATATTTCACGTTCCTCCACACCTCGGCCTGATCCCACTAGGGGCCTACTGGCTGGAAAATAGGGGCATCCAGGCGACTGAGGCCTCAGTGAAACGCCAAGTGGGCGTGGGCCCACGAGAGTCTTAGGCGAGCCTTTGGCAACAGGCACTTGGGGGCCTGTCGCCCCAGCATCTTCATCCCGCCCTTCTCCCCCTGCCCAGCTGCACCACGGACCTGGCGCCGACAAGCCAACACTCGGCTACTCCCAAGTGGGGCACAGGCCCTTCCACCACCTCGAAAAGATACCCCACCAAAAAGCAGCACACGCTGCCAGGAACCCATGGCAGAACACTGCTCTCAGCCCAGCCCGGAAACTGACGCGATTGGCGCGGGGTAATGACGTCACGTAGCAACGCACGGCTTCCTTTCCCTAGCGACAAGCTTCCTCCGAGTTTATTTAGCCCTGGAGCCCAACTTCTCGCTCTCTTCCTCGTGGCCAGATACAAACATTTTACAGCATTTAACCAAATGCCTGTGGAGCGTTTTCACGAACCCCATCTCATTTTATCCTCACAGAAGTCCTGGAGTAGGTAGATAGGAGACTCAGCAGAATCCTGTTTTGTTTTCATTAGCAAGAAAACGGAGACTTAGAAAGAATATAGACTTGACCGGACTTAAAAGAAGTAAAAAAAAAAAAAAAAAAAAATGGTGGAACTTGAAAATGACTTCAGGTTTTCTTACTACGCAGAATAATAGTCACTTAAACACTTGCTACAGTTAAATATTTTACCTTTTTTTTTCTTGCGTGATCACAATGTTCTGCTTCGTGTTGATATTTACTACTGTGTTGCTGACCACTACCTGAAAGAGAAGTTGGGTTGCTTCACTGGCCTTGGAAAAGTTTAGCTACATCAGAAAATAAGTTTTGCTCAAGAAATAACTCACGTGAGTCAAAGCTAGGAAGGAGGTGGAATTTACCTTGGTGGAAGGAAGTATCTCTACGCCCAAAATGGGTGAGAGAGTGAAGGAAATAGTATTTAGGAGAGTAAATTGGAAAGCTGGTACGGGAACCCAGACCTAGAAAAAGGGATCTTTTCAGAGTGGAGGGTAGTTTGCCCTCGCATATCTCCATAATATTTTCTAAGGTTAATTTTAATTTCTATCTGTGGAGCGTTGGTTGTATAATCATTCAATTTATTTTATTATAATCTGATCCTTAATTTCCTTATTTTTAATACAGAACATATGAACCTCAAAGAATTATTGTTAGGATTAAATGAAACTATCAGCAAAATGCATTCAATTTAGTAAACTCTGGGAAAAAATCAGTTCCTTGCTTTTTCTCCCCCAATCAAAACCTTACTGCTTCATTTGGCCTTCTTCATCTTTCACCAGGGTTAACACATTTAGCCTATTGTTTTACGTCACTTTCTTATTATTTTATGATATGTTTCCTCAACTGATTTTTATCAATTTTTAAATGTTTATCTACTCAATTTTTATCTATTGTTAGCCAAAAAAAGAGGAACAAAGGGAATAGCTGTCAGAACATTCCATTCACAAAACAGGAAATATGGAGGGTCTGCTTCTCTCCAGGTAGCTTTGCGAGTTCTCCCAGACTTCTACTGAAGATTTATTCATTTAACAAATATTTATTGAACAAGTACTATGTGCCAAGCACTACTCTAATCTTAGAGTTCTCAACATTGAACCATAATCCCTGCACTCAAGGACATTACAACACAGAAAGAGAAACAGAGTAAGTTACCAAACAATTACAGTATGATGTGATAAGTGTAGGAGAAAGGCACTGAGTGATACAGAAGTACAAACAAGGGGCACCCAATTCAATCAAGCAATGCTTCTGGCTAGGGTAACATCTAAGCTGAGTCCCAAGTGTGGGTAATGTGTAGAAGTCAGCTGGGAGAACAGCTGCAGAGTTGTGCAGAGGTCAGAAACCAACTGCTAATCACTGTAAATAACCTATATGGCTTGAACATAGAGTGTGAGATGCAGGATTGAAAGAGATAAGGACAGATGTTGATAAAGATGAGTGTTGCCCGGTCATGAAAGATTTGTACACCATGTAAACAAATTTGGATATTACCCTGAGGGAAACAGAGAAGAATTTTAAACAGAAAAGTAACATGATAAGATTTGTGTTTTATAAATACTGCTATGATTACTAGGTGAAATAAACGGATGAAGGAGGCAAGGTCAGGGGAAGGGGAACAGAAGGTTATTGAAGTAACCCGAGACATCTCGAAAATAGGACCTCACATCTCTAAATTTCACTTTGCTTATCTACAAAATGGATAATATCTACTTGTAAGATTTTTGTGAGGTTGGTTTAAAATAATGCATGTGGCATGCTTACCAAATGGCACACATATCCATGAACTGTTAGCTATTGCAATGATCTGTGGTTGTTCAGAGGTTTATGATGTGGGCAGCTAGATGAATGGTAGTGACCTTCTCTAAGAGAGAACATAGGAGAGAAACGAGTGAGACCAATGTAGAATCATTCATTTGATTTCCCTTTTAGCAGATTAGGGTATCAGGAGAGTAGTAGATATGTCTATTGTTTCTTATCCAACAACCAACAACCACTCACACACACACACACACACACACACACACACACACACACACAAAAGGCCTTTTCTCAAAAGAGTATTCTAACTTAGTTCATAAGAATTCATAAGTCATTTGACCCCATCCCCATGTTCACTAATTGAATTAAAGACTAACATACAGCCAAAATTAGACCAAACAGATTCTTTCTCCAGAGATTTTTAAAAAATAAAAGATATTAATCTCAGTTTGCACTTGCACAGATAAGGCTGTCCAAAAAGCAAACACAGAAGCAAAAAAAGCCAATGCCGAAAGAGAGGAAGGCCGACCATGAGAGATCATGTGCCCAGAGAGGGAAGGGAGAACTGTACTGGTTCATAATAGCTCTAACATTCCTGTTTCTAGTCCATAGTGGAGTTCAACTATATTTCCTATCTTCTAGTCCAACATCCATTCAAAAAACGCTCTTTCTGCGTTGGCTTAATTTGGATAGGTTTCTGTGTGCTTGTAACTGTGATGAGATAAATTTTATAATATTTATCAAGGGTATTTTCCTCTATAATTCCTTGTACCACATATAGCCTTTCCCCACTTGGAAAAACTATGTGGTATCATTTTATGACAGAGCAAAATGTTAGATAAAAGAGAATCTTTCTTTGCTTTTGAATGTTCAAAGTTTGGAGCTTTTAAGAGAATGAAGACACCTCTGGAAAAGACAATAGATTTGGAAAAACTACATGATGATATAAAAATATTGTTTCTTGCCTATATAAGTTAGAATTACCTTTGGTTATAGGTAGTAGAAAACTCTACCACTGTCTTAAACAAGTAGGGATATATTAGTCTTGTATGAAAAGTTCACAAGTAGACTTTACATGTCTGATGCAGTGGATCCACTGTGTAATTATGTCCCAAATTCATTATTTTTCTCTTATCATCTCAGTATCTTTACTTTTGTCCCTCACAGTCACAGGATGGTGGCTGCACCTTTAAGAATCTAGACTATGTTGCATTTCCATGCTGGAAGATAGAAATGAGAGAAAAAAAATATTTTTAAACTTTCCCTGGTGAGTCTTTGCCTTTTTTTTTAATTTGGGAGGGGAAGTTACAAACACACCAGATTGACTAGAACCAGGTCACATGACTACCCTTAGAAGCAAGAGAAGCTAAGAAATAAAGCATTTAGATATCTCTAACCCTAGAGTAGAGGAGAGCAATGGAAAAAGTTACTGGAAATGGATATTGAGTAAGCCAACTAAATATTTTTTTAGAGAGACTATTTTAAACATTTTAGGATAATGGAGGATATAGATAGTGGAGAACTTAGATATACATGGGTTCTTATGCAGGATATCTATAGTTGGAGAATGCAATAACATTTTAAACCCCTATTTCCTTGCCATCTTCAACTATAGAGACTAGAAATTCATGTATTTCCTAGTCTCACTTATAGTTCTGGGCATATATGACATAGTTCTGAATAATGTGGTATAAGAAAAATTGGGGGGCTTCTGAGGAAGCTTTTGATTTTCTGGTCAAGTGGAACATAATCAGTTCTACTCTTTTTCCTACCTTGACTGCTAATGTAACACCTGGAGATGTGCAGTCATCTTATGAACATGACAAGCACAATGGTGACAAACACAGTGACAAAAGCCAACAGCTGAGGGTAACAGAGTATTAGTATGGCAAAAAGACAAATTCTTGGTTATATAGTTAAGATGCTATGCCAGTCTTGCTTGCATCTCCAGACCTCTCATGTTAGATAGCTGTTTTAACAACTGTTATGTAGGATTCTTGTTATTTGAAGTTAAAGAAAGCTATGCCTATTAAAGCTCTTAAGAAGGAACCCCATACACTGTGAATACCTCTCTCCCATTCACTCAAAATTGAGTCCAGGTGTAGAGGAGGGGAACAATGGAGCCCCAAATCAGTTTGAGGGATGTGAGAACAACAGAACCAATGCCCCCATTCCCAGCCAGAACTCAGTACAGTGAGTAAAAATGGTAGAGTGTTTTGTTTAAGCAGACAGTCTGAGACAGCCTCATAGGGTTTGCCCCTGCAAGGAGCCACAGGAGTGGCTGAGAAAAAAGCTTATCCTTAAGAAATCTTAATGTCAAGAATAAGGGAAGATTTGGCAACAATCTGAATTTTTAAATATGTGGCATCCTAATGGATGCTGGTTCTGGTAGATAAAGACCTTGAGAATTAAATTCATGCAGACATCTGGACATCTCACAGGTACAACCCTGTTGGAATCTGTATTTAACAAGATTAAGTTTCTAACCCCCCAAGAGAAATTTATAAATATAAATGATCAAAGCAGAGAGGATTCTTTTGAATGTTTCCTACTGTATATATGGTAATATCTTATATTGTTTTCTAGAAAGGAAGTATTTGTGCTTCATTACTTGCCCTCTCAAAAAAACAAAAACAAAAAACTATCCTCCTCAGGTGACCAAGACTCACTGAAAGTTCAAATTCCAACACAGAGTGGGGGCCTACTTCATTCTGTCCTTAAGTCTCAGTGTCAGTTGAGAACATGCTTCACTCATTTGCTCAAATCCCTAGGGGAAAATGGGGCATTATGGACAGTTTCCTGTCTCTGTTGAATATACTAAATGAAGCTCAGAAACTAGTGCGAGTGTGATGCGGATATCGTCCTGCAGTGTCCACAGTATTATGGATGAGATGAGACAAATTCACACAAACTACAGAAATCCTGTGGAGAAAAAGGGATGATGCACCTGCTCTCTCAGTAAGAGGACTGGCCAGTCCCTTGTCTGGACAAACTTT